CAATTCAACCGTTATTTGAGCTTTGTAACCAGGTTTTTGTTTGTTCATGATCGTTACAAGATGAACGGTATTTGTTGAACGGAATATTTCATGTGAGTGCAGTAGACTTTGTAGTTTGGTAAAGCCGATCACAAGCGCTCAGGAAGTTAGAATCGTCTGCAAGGGACCGGATTTTCCGTTCTCTCCGATGAAATTGTTTGCTTTGTTCACCTTCGTCCACATATACTAAACATACAAAACTGACAGGTAAACAATTACCATAACGATCTTCTGTTTAGCCTCAATATGGTGGTCGATTCTTAGTGGTAGCTAACGTCCTATTGTGCCTGAACTCTTCATCAAGAAATGTACACCGCCGGCACATATGTGCGAGTGAGTTGTACATTCCTATAAGATGTGAACCTGTGTGGTTGCTCAATTCATAGGATCATCTCACTGGAGGCTTGGAGCTCTCTTGTGCTCCTGTAGTAGTCTTTGAAACACATCAGAGCGCGTCCAAAATAAGCCTTATTCATTCCACCTAGGCAAGGATTTCTAGGATCTAACTCATCTGCATAACAGCGTGATTTTCACGGGAGAATCACCTGGAACCCAGCTGAATCTCTCTTTTATGATGTTCTTAAATCGAATTGAACTAGTGCCTTCTGTGAAAGCGATATTATTCGATCCTCGGAGAGGCGTCGAAGACACCAACTATTAACTTATTATAAACAGCAAGTCGATCGTTAGGCACGTTTCAATGCTCGTAAACATGATTAGGAGTATACACTCATTTGCGAATCAGTTTGGTCTTCACGAGAGACGCAACTGAATCTCTCGTTTATGATATCGTGCCAACTGAATGTGCTGCACACAGTATGAAGATATACTACGATATCTCGAATATCGTGCCAACTGAAACATGAGATGACCTGTATGAAGCACATTCAGTTACTAACAGGAGTTTCAGTTGAGTCTCTCATGAAGACCGAATTGATTTGCAATCAACATCATCATCATCATCATCATTATCATCATCATCATCATCATCGACAGCATATCAGTGTGTCAACACCAATGCTTCACTGCCGTACAACCATGAATTATTTGAAAGCCCTGTTGTAAAGAAAGGAATAAAGGTGGATGGGGGAGGGACTTAGTGCTAGCTTAACACAATCATTCCGAGGTGCCTACACCTCCAGACATTCACTCAGACAGTCTGGATAGAAACTGACAACAAGAACGCCACTGACATCGGTTGGCAGCCATATCTTGTAGTGTCTCCAACCAGGCACAGTGAGGATCACGCGGTCCCCATCCTGGAAGGCGAGTAGCACCGACAGAACCCAAGCGTTTCGTGATCTCCTCCATACCCCTCCGCCAAGGCAAGGGTTGGCCACCTCTCTGTTTACGCCGCTCCGAATTGGGCATGGAAAACAGTACTCTCTTCGGCAAACGATGGTTCGGCATGCGTAAAACATGTCCCAACCAACGCAGCTTCTGGTGCTGGACACATTCTTCAATGGAAGTACCCGTTACACAGCCGAAAACACGCTTTCTAACTGTCTCGTTACGGATCCGC